CTCCGAATTGTGGTTCGAATTTCGCGCGTGGAAATGTATATTACATGACGCGAAATTTCATTTGTTTTCCCTGACAGACATACAGAAACGAAATATATGAGGCCCCCCCCCCACACACACACATACACAAACATACTGGTGTAACCTTAGTTGTGACGCCACACATTGAATTAACTTTTAATATAGTTGCGATATGAACTCGATTAAAACGCGTTTCTATATAGGGTTGCGTTTTAATTGGAGTTTAATTAAACTCCATTACAATACAATACAACGTAGAATTGCGTTTTAATTAAGTTTAATTAAATAAAACTTGAATATCCCGTGACTGAACATAGAAATGTTTTCGAAGCTTAGGTTTAGTATCGGGGGAAGGTATGGTACAATTATATTAATATTAATATAAATTGAACCATACCTTTCACCTTTACTAAACCTAAGCTTCACAAACTTGACTTAAATTCGATTAAATATTAATATAAATTATGAAACATTGTGAAGCCAGGGTTTGTGGCATAATTCTGGGTGGCTTAATAGCGTAGTTGTGTTCCAGGTGCAATGGCTTCATAATCAACCTTGCACACACACACACACACACACACACACACACATACACAGACACTACAATCAGAAGCAGTAATTTCAATAAAGTACATTTCCCACGGTACAGTAGATGTTATTAATATTTTGTTTTGAATGTGTTCGGTATTTCATGAATACAAACAATACTCACCAAAAGCTAACGCCGTTGTTATAGAATTAACGCCCAAAATAAACATCAATATAATCTCCATCTCACTACTAACAGCAAAAATATGAAAATAAAAACCAGTGAAATTATAATCATTTTTCATAATTCAGACAATATTACATTTTATTTAACTGCGAATTTTTGCTTGAATCCACAGCCGCGAATATAAAATATTTTTTATAATATACGATCCTGTATAATTTGATACCGAATATACATATTGGTAATACTAAATATAGTTTATACAGGGGCAATAAACTTGAGTCTATACATAAGATATATTGCAATTGTAAGAACACAACAAAGTAATTGTACTTTACCGCTGACTTGAAAAGCGTATAGTTTGTCATATTCTTATACTTTGCTGAATGAATAAAATTATTATCATTTTGTATTCTGCCACATGCAACTATGGCTGGCAAATGACGAATTCGAAACATACTAGTAGATAAGCATAGCAAACAAGTTGTTAAAAACTTACTTTTTTTCTGTATAATCTTGACGCAAAAAAGTAGGAACCACAATCTCAGCACAGACGGTATAATGACGTCACTGGATAAAATTGTGCGTCTTCCACTGAATAATAGATATTTATATTAGTATAGGTGAATACAGTCTTGAAGTGAATTCACACCGATCCATAAACAGAAGTAATATTGCTGCGACAAGATAACGTAGTGTTATATGGTTAATAACAATCAACCATAGATTTGTATCGATGTAGTTCTTCAACTAATATACTTTACTAATATACGGATCGAATTATTATGTAACGTAAGGCCGCACCGTTCGTT